CTTTTTTAATCACTGCAACGTTAACCAATACTATATTTTATCTCGTATTCATTTCCAATTTTAAAAATAAATTGTTCCTTCATCAAAAATATTTTTTCTTTCACTTCGTAATTCACTTTTTTCAATTCAATTTTTTTTTTTCGAATATAATATATATTCAATCCCAATAAATTTTAAATTCCATCAATAGGGAAGAAAAAAAAAAAAAAACAGAGCTAGAGAATTTTAGCCGGCTAATGGCTCATGGGCAAGTCACTATCACTGTACATTTTCCTTTAAACAATTGAAATAAAAAAATGTTAATAAAAAATAAATATTAAGGAACTGCTAAAGGTCCTGTTATGGAATCATTTCGTCGGAATTTGTAAACGTCAGATCAACATGTAACCGTCAGAGAAAAGTTGATTTAACAGTTACAAATCTCGATGAAATGGTTCCGTAACGGGACCATAGCATCTTCCTAAATATTATTCGATATGTTTTGTCACAAGTTACATGCAGTGACATTTGAGCAGCCACTTTCAAAACTCGACAAACTCTGTATTCATTTGACACCAATTTCTGATTTCCTTCTCAACTATATTTTCTCCCCATTTTATTCAAAATTTTCTTTTCTCAATAATAATAATAATAATAATAATAATAATAATAATAATAATAATAATAATAATAATAATAAATATGCATAAGTACTAATCTTGGGCATTGAATTAATGTCAGAAACAAAAAAGTAAAAGAAATGATGATTAATCTCTGGCCATAATTAAATTCCATTACTTTATTATTATTATTATTGTTATTATTATTATTTTTTAATTATGTTGATTTACATAAAAGGCTTAAAGCAGGGGCCATGCCCCATAAATATTGTACATTTTTTCTCCAATGTTCAATCATTATTAATTATCATAATTTTGCTTATATGCAGGCCATAAAAAAAAATAATTTAAATTGGGGAAAAAGGAGAATATAATATATAATAATTAATTAAAATTAAAATAGAAAAGAAAAGAGGATGTTGACATGTATAACGTGCTCAAAGCAAAGAGCAGAGGATGGAGAAGAAGGGCCGCGTGGGACTCCCAACACTAAAGATGCCGTCAAAACCCTCACTTCGCAGGTCATTTTTATTTTTTCTTAAATCATTTTTTTATATGACGTGAATTTTACCTTATTGTGTGACTGCTGAGTACTAGAGCTGCTAAGTTAAACGAGCCACTCGTGAACTCGTCTTGGCTCGACGTCATTTAAAATTCGCCCACTTAACGAGTCGAGCTCGATAAGACTCGAATAGATGATTTTTAATTCACCTCGATTTTAACTCGTTAAAAGCTCGAGTTCGACTCGTTAATATTAGTAAATGAACCGAGCTCGAGCCGATTATAATAAGCTCTTAAGTTAATGAGGCTCGACTCGTTAAGGATGGTGCTCGAGTTTAGCTCGGGTCGACTCGTTTACATTCCTAAGCACAGACAATCGTTGGATCAACACACACTTGATTGACCAAAAAATATTATACGTAAGTTTTAAAGGCGTGATTGCCTATAAATATTATCCGGTTTTGATTGACCGAACAATATTTTTACACACTTCAAAACTCCATCTCAAATTCAATTCAATTCAAGTTTTATTAATATTATTAAGATAATTAAATAAAACTGATTAATAAGTTTTTACACATCATGTCAACTTTAAATGTTGTTCACCTATTCCCATACTTTTTTTAACTACTTATTATCTCTAATTGCACACCTCTCATATAGACGTGGCCAGGTGCCGGGTCCGGACCCGGCCCGGCCCGCCGGGCCACGGGCCCTCAAACAGCCGAACCGCGACCGGCCCGCTAGGAACGAAGGGCCGGTTCATAGAACCGGCCCGAACCGCCGGTTCACCGGCCCGGTGGTTCACGGGCCGGTACGGCCCTTAAAAAAAGCAAAAAAATTGGCCCGGCCCGGCCCGCCGGGACAAAAAAAAAACAAAAACCGTGACCCTTAATCGGACCGGATTGGCCGCGGTCCGGTTCTCGAATCCGGCACTATTCATGCTGGTACCGGGTCGGGCCGGTCCGGTACCGAGTCACGGGTCGGGCCGGTCCGGACCGCCCGTGGCCATGTCTACTCTCATACTTTTGCATCACATCAATTATAATAATTACATTTTAATTATCAAATAAATACAAACTCAAAATTTCACTTAATCCTCCACTAAATTAACTTTATTCAAAATTAGCTCACTTTTAACCAATATATCCAATCGCGCTCTAAACAGTTAGATCAACATTTACTTGTACGGGTGTATGCGCATGTGTATTCCGAATGCTCGTACATTTCACCCAACTCGTATGAGCACTAAACACATTAAATGGTGTGTTTGTATATAAATTATCTCAATTTTTACAATTCATTCTCAAAATTTAATTCAACTTTAACTCAATCTAACTATTTTTTAGTATTATTAATATAAGTAAATAATATCAGTCACTGCTTATTCATTCAAATCATTTTAACTAACCATCACTTCACACTATTTTTCTTTTATTTTAATATAAATTTAAAATCTCACTAACAACTAATTATATCAATTAACTGTAATTAAATGATTAATGATAATTAAATGAAAAAAACCCGTTTTGAACTGATATATTTATATCCAAACACGGCCCCGATTGTCAAATCTGAGTGTGTGTGTGTGCGCGCGCGTGTTATCCTACGGCTGGAATTCAGTAGGGTGAAATTTTGATCACAGTGGAGTCAGATTTGTAGTAGTGAATTTTCGTCTTAAAGCATTTTTTAACTGTGTCAGTTACTTTCTTTTCTTTTCTTTTTTTAATTTCCTTCTTCTTGAACACAAAAAAGAGGGTTCTGCTTGGCTACACTGTCCCTTTTCCAGACATGCTTACAGTGGGGCCCACTTTCTTTTTTTTTTTTTT